AAGGTTCTAATATAATAATTAAAAAATACAAGCACACCCCAAAAATTTTTATTCTTATGTATGTCACTATAAATTCCAAAATATTTACATATGAGATCTCTGATTATAAATAAATAACTTAATATAAGCCTTTTTTCAAGTATTTTCTAAGCTTCTGGTAAAAATAACTTCTGCAATAAAATATTAAATTAATTCATATAAGGTTTATTTTATCTACAATTTCTGATATAATTTTTAATCATAATAATAATTATTAATTTCATAATATTAATTTCATACTTCTCTGGCACTTTTTTCCAGTCCACCCTGGATCACACATACAAGTGTTATCTGATTGGCAAAGACCATGTCTGCATTGTTTGCATAAACTCCTTTGAGAAACTCTATTGTCTATTTCACAATGATTTCCTTTAAATCCAAAATTACACCTGCATTTATTAGCTCCTCTACATTTTCCTCCATTCAAACATGGAATTACACATTTTGCTAAATGTAAAATGATAAAAAAAAAAACTCAGTAAATTAGGTTATTAAAAATGAAATAGGAAAGAGAAAATTATAAATATAAGTATTCACTTACAATATTCGCATCTTCGCCCAAAATATCCTTTCGGGCAATCACATGTGTCTTTTTGAATACATTTGCCTCCATTTAAGCATTTATCTCTACAAATTCCTACAAGTAATTCAGTAAATATATTAATAAATAAATATAAAAATTTTTAGTTTTTCTACAGAGGATCTTCTGTTACTTTAAGAAGCTTCCATGTTTCTTCTTCATCTTACACAAATAAACCAAACTCAGTAATTGATTCAATAATTAGGGTAGATCATGCAGGAGAATTGGGAGCAAACTGCATTTATGCCGGTCAAATGGCCGTTCTAGGTAATCATAATAATAATAATTATGTGAATTTTATCAAGATTATATATTTTTATGTGTTATTTACTACTTAATTGCTAATATATTGAAAAATCGGAAAGTATATTGGAGTGTCACAGGAAAAAAATTATATAAATTTTAGGTAATTCAAAATCAGCACCACTTATTCAACATATGTGGGATCAGGAAAAAGTTCATAAAGCTACTTTTGATGAACTTCTTGTAAAGTATAGAGTTAGACCTACAGCACTTATGCCGATTTGGAATGTTGCCGGATTCATGCTTGGAGCAGGTAAATTATTATTTCATCAAAGATATAACTTACTATATCATTAAAAATTATAACATTTGAAATGAACAATGGTAGGAACTGCTTTACTGGGAGAAAAAGCTGCTATGGCTTGCACTGTTGCCGTTGAATCTGTCATTGTTGAGCATTATAACGATCAGTTAAGAATGTTAATGACGGAGCCAGAAAAAAATAAAGAATTAATGGAAACAATTCAGAAATTTAGAGATGAAGAACAGGAACATCATGACCATGGTATGGATCAAGGAGCAGAGCAAGCACCTTTTTACAAAGTTCTCAGTGAAGTTATTAAGTTTGGATGCAAACAAGCAATAGCTATGTCGAAGGTAGTTTAATATATATTTAATAAAGTTCTTATAGTTTTAATACATCAGATTATGTAATAACTGAAGGGAAAAAAAAAAAAAAATTTTTAATGTGAATGTGTTTAAGTTTTTTGCAAGATAAATATTTTTATCCAATAAATAGATTTAAAAAGTTATTCTTCTTAAATCCTTTACAATAATTTGAAAAATTAAGAATTTGAATAATTTATTTGTTATTTTATATTTATTTTTATTTAAAGTTAAAATATGTACGGCTAGAAGACCTTAGACCTGATTATTTTTAATTTAATTATCGAAACTTAAAATTAATTTTAAAATTATTAAACTGAGATATTGAATACAAAAATTATATTTGAATTCTAAATTCTAAGGTCTTCTATTTCAGGGATTATTTTCACATCCAAAACAGTACAATTTTTGTATAAATAGGCACTACAGTACTTCTCCTCCAATGTTCAACCCAAACCTAAATGGGATGTTTTTAGCGCTGTTTGCTTGGAAAGAAAGCCAAAAATTACAAAACCGCTAAGTCCGTTAGAGAAAAAAGTTCAAGAATTACTTTTACAAGTTGAAAATGAAAGTAGTTACAAGTCCGATCACGAAGTTAAACGGGAAGAAGATGCAAAATTCACGGAATTATTAAAATCTGGTAAAACCACCCTCGATTTTAATGTAGACACTTCCGTTCAGCAAACCGCACACGAATACGAAGAAATGTCGGATAAGGAATTGATGGAATTTAAAAATTTACCCCTCAAACCGAAAATTTTAGAAAAAGATAACGTCAAATCGATCGACAGAGCTTTAGGAAATCATTTGATTCTCATACTCAATGACAAAATTGGAAAAAAAAACCAATGGATGCTCCCGTTTGGAATTCGGAAAAATTCTGAAACTCTAAGGGAAACCGCCGAAAGGGTTTTAAATGAAAAATTTGGAGATAAACTTCAAGTTTTATTCCTCGGTAATGCTCCGTGCGGTTTTTATAAATATAAATATCCCAAAAGGATTGGAAACGATGCTTTGGGTGCGAAAATTTTCTTTTTCAAAGCGGTGCACATCTCTGGAAACGTAGAATCGGGGAAAAGTGGTACGTTAGACTACCAATGGGCAACACGTGAAGAAATGAAGAAATTATTAGGCCCTAAAAAATATCGTAATAGAATATCGAGGTTTTTAATAGATGAAAACGATTCCAATTAAATAACAACTATAAATATCAGTAAAGAAAAAGTGGTATAAAATGAAAAAAAAGAATCATTAAGTAAATATAATTCGATTAGGAAAATGGTAAAAACATTACAAAGAAGAACTTTTTTTTTTTTTTGGGGGGGGGGAGGAAATTTTTATACCGATCCCCATTTCCTTATAAGTCTAATTTTATAACAAGTTAAACGTTTAAAGTTTTAACGTCGGTGGTAAATACGAAAATGGCGAATGGTAACATCAACTACTACTACCAAGAGTTTTAATAATTAACCTCCTTACCTCCTTCGCAATGACGTCCTTGATAACCCGTGGGACAACTGCAAATTCCGGGGGCAGTGCAATTTCCACCATTCATACATTGTGGATAACAAAGAGCTGTTTTGCAGTATTGTCCCATGTAACCTTCAGGGCACTGACAAATCTTCTCGTGATTGCACCAACCACCATTGGCACATTTTTTATCACACTCGGGGTCTGGCCCTGTGGGAAAAATACCTGCAATGTTTATATTTGAGTTTATTTCTTGTTAACGAACCCTCTTGTGTCTTTTTGAAGAGGTGTACTTCCACAAGGTGTTTGTTTGCACATTCAACGTTATTTCTTTAAAAAGAATGTGCACTCACGTGAAAGTATTATTATTCTCTCATCTGTTTCTTTACAATAATTTCAAATATATATATATATATGAAAATTTTATAATTTTATTTAATAATTTTTAAGAAAAATTCTTCAACAACTGACCTCTAGGCGCACATTCTTTTCGTAGTTTCAAACGAAGAGGTGTTCCTACCAAAGGTTTTCCTTTTCTCGTTTCAATCAAAAGACCAACTTCAAATGGAGCTATACCGGATCTATTACCAGAACATGGAAGATAAACGCTAAAAACTGAAAAAAAAAAAAAAAAAAAATTTTTTTTTTATTATTTACGCCATTTAAAAATTTATTTATTTAAAAATAATAATAATAATTTTTTTGCGGTTATTACCTTTGGGTCTTTTTGGAATTTTACCCCTCGTTTTAATAGATATTTGTGGTGATTCTAATATTGATTCATCTAAAGTTTTCAATATGTCAAAATGATAAAAATATTTTTTTGAACCTGATCTCCATGTAAAATTAACTGAATTAACTTCTGATGGTATAACTGGTAAATATTTTTCAAAATTTGGATCTAATATGTATGGTAGTACGTATCCGCCATCGATCACGTGTATTTCACCTATAAAATGCCCTAAAACAAAAAAAAAAAATTAATTTTCCAGGTTTTTGCATTTAATTAATGGTTGAAAGGATTTAAATACCGCAAAGCAAAATCGTAAAAATTTTTTTTTAATATTTTTTTTCAATTATTTTTTTGCTACGGTTTCGATGAAGCGTTTAAAAAAAAAAAAAAAAATTATGGACTTTAACTAAAACTCCGACAGCATTACTCATTACAACGAAATTCCCCCCCCCCTTTTTTATAAAAAAAAATAATAATAATATTTTTTAAACAAAAACAAAAAAAATATTAACCTTTATTATTACGATAATAAGTAAATTTAATCATTATTATTATTTAAAAAAATTTTTAAAGTCACGTGGATTAGAAAAACGTAAACAAAAATATTGTAAATAATAAACAAACTCAATAATAATCGTTTTCGTTATTACTTTTAATCATTTTTTTTTTTTCGGGGCGGGGGGGAGGGGGATTAAAAACAAATAAATTTTAACGTATGATTTTACATTAATTAATAATAATAATAATAATGATATTAAATTAAAAATAAAACATTCGCTCGTGTACATAAAAAAATTAGGGGAAAAGAAAGAAATAATAATAATAATACCATTTTTTTTTTTTTTTTATTATTATTTTGAAATAAACATACCACTAAACATTTTAACTTGTTGCGAATCTATCCAAAGTGACAATCCTCCTCCACCTCCACCACCACTTCCTCCTCCATTTTTTTGTATACATTTAACAAATAATACATTTAAAATAAAAAAGAATAACAATAAGAATAATAAAGTGATAGACATTCCAAGTAACTTGTGCCACCTTGACTCCTTGTGTTGTACGAACGACTAAAGACAAAATTATACACCTTGTTATGATCTCTTATCTTACTCACTCATCATCACTCCATCCTTATTGCTCCGCCTTTATGATTTAATCTTCAGTTACGGACTGTATAATTAGAATTCTCCAGGAAAAAAAAAACTCCTGTTAATTTTTTTCTAAAAAAAAAAAAAATTTTATATATATATATAGATACAAGTTTATTATTATTATTATTATTTTTCACCACGAAATTAAAAAAAAAAAAATTAAATGTATATAAACCAGTTTTTGTTTAATTAAAAAAAAAAAAAAAAAAATTTTTTTACAATTTTTTTCGTTTTCTTTTTTTTGCCTTAAGTTATGGAAAAGTTATTATTATTATTATTATTATTATTATTATTATTATTATTATTATTAAACAAAAGGTTATGCCTTTTTTCTTTCTTTTTAAGCATGAATTAAAGGTATTAAAAAAAAAAAAAAAAATATTGTGGAGTCGGGTTAATTGGGGTCTAAAATCAACTTTAAACGTGTCTAAAACCTTCTCAAGGGCATTATTTATGGTTTTTCCAAGTTAGAAATTTTTTTTTTTTTTTTTTTTGCTTTTTTTTTTTTCTTCACGTTGACCCATTGCAGGCAATCATTTCGTACGAAACAAATAATTTTTAAATTATTCTTTAACTTTCAATTTGAAAGTATTATTATTATTATTATTCTCTTCATTTTTCCCCTTGTTAAACTTGTAATTATTTTTTTTTAAGGTTATCTCTCTCTCTCTCTAAGATATATTATTTTTGAATTGTAAAAAACCCCTTTGATACAAACGTACCTTTAACTATAATCTATTATTATTATTTTTAAAAAAAACCCACATGTGAAACCCCCTCCCCTCCCTCCCCCCGTGTCAATTATTCATTTGTTTACAAATTTTTTTTTTTTTTGCACAAAACAACAGGAGTCATGAGAAAAAATAATTTTTGTAAATAAAAAATGGGTTGGTTATATTGATTATTTAACCTGTCAAAATTACTTAATTTTTTTTTCAAATATTCACCCAACAAACAACAAACAAACAACAAACACTCAAATTTTTACTAATTTTAAATGTATATTTAAATTGATTTAACAACAAAATGATTCAATTAATTTTTTTTAAAGAGTTAATATTAAAAAAAAACTCGAGTCTGATGAATAAACCTAATAAAAAATAATTAGTGGTGGATTCCCCCCGGTCCCCCTTTCCCTTCCCTTCCCCCTCCCCACAACATCTCCGTTTAAATTAATAATGATTAATTAATATTATTTTTTCACGACGACGACGACGACGAAAAAATAAATTAGTTTAATAAATGAAGATCATCACGACAAACAAACAAACAAACGATTTATTTATTTTAAAAAAAAAATGATGACGTCACAAATAAATATCAATTTTTAAACGAGGGGGTTTAATTACCAACGTTGCAATTTTTTAAATAATAATAATGATTTTTTTTTGTTTTTAAATAAAAAAAAAATTTGAACCGGTTTTTGTTTTTTTTGTCCCTCTTTTTTGATTGTTTCCAAGGTTCCAATTCAGGATTTAAAACACAAACTAGAAAAAAAAAAGTCGAACAGGTGTTTTTACCTGTTTTTCTTATATATTTATCCTCCATCCACCTACCCATTCGCCTGTCAATTCATCAAACAAGGTAGAGAAGAGAAAACTCAAACAATTTATCATCGGTTAACAAGAACATTCTAGAAAAACATCTTTTTTAAAAAAAAAAAAAAATTTCGATTTTTATCAGAGGTTTCGAATTAGACAATGATGGATTCGTGTGAAAATTTTTAATTTGATACGAGTTTAAAAATAAATAAATTTTTAAATAACGTGGCAATAGAAATAAAAAATTTAACAGGGTAAAAGATATTATTTTAAAATTTTATTTCCATCCACTTTTCATTTTTTGGGTTTTTTTTTTTTTTTTTAAACAATGTAAAACAAAAAATGATTGAAAAAAAAAAAACCGAAGGTATAATTTTAAAAGTCAATAAATTTTTTTTTTTTTTAACAACTTCACGATCGTGGTTAAAACAACAACAACAACAACAACAACTTGGTTGTAGAGACGTTTTCAAGGGTAGCCCTTAAAAAAAAAAAAAAAAAAAGTCAAAAATCATGCCTCGAGCAATGCAACTAAAAAGACCTAATTTTTTTTTTTTTTTTTAAATATACCTTTTGCATCTTGTCGAGATTTTTTTTCAATGTGTACCACCCACCCCCCCTCCATATTTGACCCCCCTACATTTTTTTTTTTTTCGAAAAAATGTCAAAAGAATTTTATTATTCCTTCCATTCTCATTCGTTACCTTTTTTTTTTTACGTTACGTCACTCGTAAATAATAATTAATTTTTTATTTAAGTTATTATTTAACTTATCTTTTTAATAAACATTATTATTATTATTATTATTATTATTATTATTTAAACAAAAAAATAAATAAATAAATAATAATTTCCTTTGTGTTAATGTAACTACACTCTATAATTATTATTATTAAAAACTCGTTTTAAATTTTCATTAAAGAAAATTTTTATTATTTTTAATAATAATAATAATAATTAATTTTTAAATATAAATAATAATAATAATAATAAATAAATAAATTTGTCAAGTTATTTATTTATTATGTTGAATTCATTAACACGAAAAAAAAATAATAATAATACTGTTTTTGAATAAAAAAAAAAAGAAAAAATTGTGACGTTATTATTATCGAAAGGGTTGGGGGGGGGGTAATTTTTATAGAAAAATTTTACTGAACCTTCCCCCCCTCCCTTAACTTGTCCATGCAATAAAAATATATTTTTTTCTCGTTGTTTTCAGTATTATTATTTTTAATTCAACCCTAAAGATGATTGAACCAACATATTGATTCAATACATCCCTTAAAAATTATCTCTCTCTCTCTCTCTCACACACATCAAAATCATACATTTAAATATTAATTTTCAAAAAAAAAAATTTATTTATTATATTAATATCATTATTATTATTATTATTATTTAATTCTTAATTTAAAAACATTTATGAAAGTAAGCAAGAATTATTATAATAATAACACATAATAAA